TTTCGGCAAGCCATCGTTGTACGGATGCTTAGGAGCTCCTTTTGATGCTGCAAATTCTGTGGCTGATGAAGATGCTGATGTTGAGTTTGTGTTCATGCCATCATTCTGCAGAATGGTTTCAATAGCCTTCACAAGCTCACTCATTGTGGGGCGGTCTGCAGCTGATTCTTCAACGCATTGCAGGGCCAGCTCCAGGAACCTCCCAAACCCAATAAGGGTTCCAGAGTTTCGAATGCTTCGATCCATTAACTCCCTCAAACCATAGTGTTCTTCATCATTCTTGTCCATCATCAATCGTACCTCACGGACGATGTATTTTCCCTTCTCAATAGGCTGCCTAGCCGTTATCAATTCAAGCATCACCACTCCAAAGCTGTATACATCACTCTTCTCAGTTAACTGATGAGTTGTGTAGTATTCAGGATCAAGATATCCCTGCAAGAACAAAACAGAAACTTAAGAGTAAAAACTCAAGAATGTGTCAATGGGATGAAATATGTTGAAATGCTAATAACGTAAACCTTACCGGTGTGCCTTTGACCTGACTTGAGACATGCCCTTTTCCACTGTCAGCTACCAGCTTGGACAAGCCGAAATCTGCAACCTTCGCGGTTAAATGTTCATCTAATAGAATGTTGGCGGACTTCACATCTCTGTGAATTATAGGAGGATTTGCAAGCTCATGTAGGTAAGCTAGTCCTCTTGCCGAGCCAAGAGTGATGCGGAGTCTCCTCTTCCAATCAAGATGAATACCAGATCTCCCTGCAATTCATATTTAAGCAAAGGTGAAGTTGGTCACTATGTCTATTGCAAACAAGTTATCTCTATGCAATATGAAATAGCTGAGAGTAAAATCTTTGAACTAACCTGACAAGCTTTCCCTGAGTGTTCCATTAGGCATAAACTCATAGACCAGCATCTGTTCTCCTTGTTCAAAACAAAATCCCAAAAGGCCAACAACATTTTTGTGATGAATTCGCGAGAGCAACTCGATTTCAGTCTTGAACTCAAGGCCACCCTGCATTGATCCTTGCTGAGCTCTTTTGATTGCCACCATTTGTCCATCAGAAAGCATGCCCCTGTAAACCTATGGACAACCAAAAAACATCCTTTAACTTGAAGCAGAATTTCATAGATGTTACTGAAATACTTGAATTAATATACCTTCCCGTATCCACCAGATCCTATCTCATTACTGTCAGAGAAATTATTTGTGCATTTCTTAAGCTCATCAAAAGAAAAACATCTTGCTCCCTTTAACTGTGGTGCACCACCACTATCTTTTCCGCTTGGTGCCCAAGAAGCTAGAAGATAGAGAAAAGGAGTGATATAAGCAAACCAACTTCTAATGTCAATGACAGAATTTCAATGTATCCAATCATAAACAACAAGAATAATTAATTACCAAAAGGTCGGCTTAATCCAATGGCTCTTTCTGCACGTTTCTTTTGCCTAATGGCACATATTCCCACTACCACGAGGCCCAGTACAAGAGCCACACAACTAACTGATATCCCAATAATAACATCAGTGCTCATAGAACTTTTATTCCCACCTGAAACAATTTTGAGTTTTTATTGTCAGTTTAATCAATCTTCTAATGCAGGGAAATGGCATACGAAGTAACGATGCGATTTAAATTACCTGGGAAAGTATAAGGATCTGGAATAAAATAATAGGGTCCAAACCCCTCCGGTGGCTTGTGATTTTGGTGGTTCAAATCAAAACCAATCCTTATAATCTCTGACATACTAAAATATGTTCCTATAGGTGGAAAGAGTGCCAGCTGAATTTGAAGATAGTCATTAGTGTTGAAGAAAGGATTTTTAAGAGAAACTGAACCAGGAGTGAGGCCAAGTGTTTCCCATAGACCCGTTTCTAGTGAGTGAAACATAGTCACATTTGACAATTCCCTGAAAGAGGGTGCTCTGAAATACAATGTTCCTTCAAAAGGATATGCACATTGACAACTCTGAGGGCTGAGCTTCTGATTATCGGGGCATGTAATGTGTGCACAATTCGAGCTAGTAGTATACGTTTCTGTATCTTGTTGCGGTGGAAGCTGACAGAATGAATTTGAGCTAGTTCCACTGGTGCAAACTGGGTTCCCTACAAGTCTGCAATATGTAAAAGTGACAACTAAGAACGGTGTTGAAAAACACACAACCATAGAAAATCAAGATCAAGGCCCATGAACTGTCTCACATTAATGTATGTTTGTATTCATAAGCCAGAGTTATTTTAGAAATCTGATTGTTCTGCAGATCAACAAGCTGCAGCTGTGGACTGATGCTATCACCCAATTTCAATGTATCGTTAAACGTATTGTTTTTCAGTTTCCTGTCAAGGGTTAGAAAAAAACATGAATGGCAAGTTTCCTAAAATTACAGTCAAAACTTGATGCTTTCTTCAGTATTCTCCTTAAACTTACACTTGCTGCAATGATGTGATGCTGAACATCTTCTCTGGCACAGTCCCTTCAAGTGCTCCAAATTCTAAAACGCTGTGTTCCGTAAAAGTAGAGAATTTCAACAAAAAATTACAACAAAGTTTTCAGGGTGTCCTTTTCCAAGACTCATTCATAGATACTAAGACATTTTTGTGTAACCTCCTAAGGACTTACATAGTGGTGATTGAGGGTAAGTTTGAGAACCAACGTGGAGCTTCTGATGGGTCAAATGAGTTGTTACTCAGGTCTCTGGAGTAAAATCATTAGGATTTATCAGTACAACAAAAGAACAACTTGCAGGAAACTTGAAATGACAGCTCCATGCCATCTTACTCACACATAATGGAGGGAAATCATTCCAGTTAAGTCAGGTAAAGGGCCTGTCAAATTGTTGTGGGCCAAATTTCTGGAAGAGAACAAAAACTCATGTAAAAGATGATTAAGAATAATTAAGATTAAGGTAACTGTAAACAGCACATTAGAATATCCTCTTAGAGACTTGGTACTCACAGTTCATTGACACTTGTTAGGTTGCTGATATTTGGGGGGACATTTCCTGTCAGAGCATTTCTATCAAGCCGACTGTTGCAAACAAGAAGGTTTTGAATCCAATTAGTATCAAGAAGCAGATACTTATATGCGAAAGAATAACAAAATCGAGCTGTTTTTGTACTCACAGAACCTCAAGAGTCGGAACGAGTGCTATGGTTGATGGAATCTCCCCAATAAATTGATTTCCATCAAACAAACTGCAGTTCAAGAATGACAAGCAGTTAGATAAATATAAGTATAGAACATAAACTGATAGATGGCATCTGGCTAAATTAAAAAATGATCGAAGGGATCAACTTACATGTGTATCAGTTTCATCTCAGAGCTGAAAAGTTTGGGTGGAATGGTACCTGAAAGCTGGTTCTTGTTGAAATGGCTGCATGTCCATATTATCAGTTTAATGTTTATGCAATAAGCAATGGCATAATCCCTATTAGAATTTCATTTTTTCACAATGGAGAGAGTTTGAGAAATGGAAAAATACTCACAAGTGTTCAGCCTTCAATAGTTTGTCTAAGCCTGAGGTAACGGGGGTTGAAATTGGTAGAGTTCCAGTCAACTGATTGTCTGCCAGGTCCAACCAGAAAAGTTTGGAGAGTTTACCCAAAGGAGGTATTTGACCAGTAAATTTATTCGTATTCAGAGCCCTGAAAAGAACAAAGGATTTATATAAAGTTGGGAAAGAAAAAACTTAAAATGGTTTGCACTAACAGTATGATTATCAATTCAATTCTTACAAGAAAGTTAGCTCTTCAAGATTGCCCAATTCCTCTGGAATATTGCCACTGAATCCGCAGCCAGCTAGGATCCTAAAAGATGAAAAGAGTCCTGTATACTTATCCAATATAAAAACTTATATTGCATATACAAAGTTCAAAAGGTGCAAATATGAAAATTGCTTGCTAATTTGTTCTTACAGGATATTTAACTTGCTCAGATCTCCTAATCGTGGAGACAGAGAACCCGTGAGGGCTTTGTTGAATGAAAGGTCCCTGCAATGTTAACGTTTCTACTTCGTTACAAAAAGGATGCCATGCTAATTAAAGATTGAGTGACAACAAAATAATTGATACTGCAAAAGAAATGTGTTTTATGCATATGTTTACATACTGAATCTGTTGCATTGCATCTGGGTTCAATTCATAATGTGCTGCAAACATAATGCTGGTACAAAGAGGAGCAATTATACTCACAAGGATATTAATTCAGAGAGTCTCCCGATATCGCCTTCAATTTGTCCTTTCAAGTTCATTGCTGATAATCCCCTGCACATAAAAAAGTGCAAGGTTGAAAATTTGTGTAATAAAGTAAGTCACCAATGCCCATAACTGTTGGTTGGTGGAGGTTACATGTTTTCGGATGCTTATAAAAGGCTACTCTTCCTTCACATTTGAAACACACACAATACACCATCAGAATATCACACACATTCTAATTCTCTCCTTTTCTACTTTTACATATATTCTCTACTTTATATTATTATTATTTTGGGCAATGGTTATGTGACTTCGATACCTATATCCGTCTATGAACGTGCTTATAGCGAATCTTGAGTTTGTGTACAAGGGATCGTATCTTGGAGTCTTGTAGACCGTCAGTTCCTGCACGTAGGAAGGCTACAAAGGCTTTAGGACAACATCTTTGACGTGCTTCACCGTACCAAACTCACTTTCTCAATTATTATTTATTTTCCTTTTACTTACCTATTATTTTGTTTTCTTAAATTTCATTGTACCTTAAACTTTTCAATTTGTTTATAAGTTATTTATAATATAAATGTTTTTGTATTTGGCTTTACGGAAAATGAAAACTATTATTTTTTCATAACAATCTAAAGCCTTTGTAAGTTGAAGTTGTTTTCTTCCCGTATTGCTAGCTTTAATATCTTTTAACTTTTTGACTGAAGCTTTTGCATTTGTATTGGATTTTCAACATGAAAATTACGATTTATTTTGGGTAGATGCAGTTTGAAGCTTTCATGTTGTCTATATAATTTCAACTGCTTTAAATATTGTTGGTACATTTATATGTTTATAATTTGTTGTGAACGTTTGGGAAATTACTGGTAGTGTTTGAAAATAAAAACCTACAGACTAATTTATGTGGTATTATTATTATACAAATTTATAAATAAACCCAATCCTAGACATGTATTTATAAAAAAACCCAAGCACTATTTAAACATAGAAACACACCCAAAATCAACCCCAAAGTCAACTTTTTGGGTGTGTTTATAAATGGGTTTTGAGTGTGTGTAATGATGGGTTTTGGGTGTGTTTATAAAGTGTTTTGGGTGTTGGGTTTTTTTATAATTTCAACCTCCATTTTGGGTGTTTTAGTGAAACTCCCT